AAAAACAACCATTTAAAAAAAAAAAGCCAATAACTAGAAAGGCAGAAAGCAGATCGTCATTGTTGTTTCAACTAGACGGCTTTTTGTAGCATATAACTATCATATATGTGAATCTGAAAAACTAAACTTAAAGAGTCATACCTAAACATATTGGACACTGCACTTCCTTGCGTATTTCTGCCAGCTTCACAACAATAAATCTGGAAATATCACAGCACACACTTTTAGACTAGTTCGTACCAAATGCCACATGCAAATAAGGCCAAACTCGTATAAATGAATAGAGAGATTATTTCTTTGCATCACTCTAGGGCCTTGCATACCAATATGTATGGTACAATAAAGGATTACGAAAAAGTGTGAGATAATTGTAATACAATAAAGGAAATAAGTGACAAGGTCAAGTGAGATTCGTAGAGAAGTTCGGTTCTTCAAAAAAACACATATCTGAAGAGTTCAATCTTTGGCATCTTGTTATCACTAGTGTAATTTCTGCCACATTAGGTTTGGGGTTGGTAAGTGATAATGAGTATTCATTAACTTCGACTGATGAATCTTTTCTTCATTCCAGCTCACTAAAATGAACTAAGATGATTTTCTAAATTTTGAGTTGCTAATTTTGAATTGATACAAAAAATTAATCTGACAAGTGTCAAATTTCAACAAAAGAATTGCATTAACACCTAGGTAAATGTCCCCAGAACATGGTAACCACCATAATTATCACAAACAGAAGGCCAAAAACGCACAACTTTCCTAACCACAAAGGCACAAAACTATTGAAACTACCACCAGGTGCCGATTTTCAGAATTTAAAGTTCTCGTGTTGTGGTAGTAAAAATTTAGTCTACATCAGGCTTTCAGAAAAAAAAATATGTGCCAAAAGTACCCCCGATGGGCCCCACTATTGATTTCATTGTCCAGATCAAATAAAGCCAGCCTTTACCAATCAACTACATCCATGGCTACTCCAATGTGGCCATTTCAGTGGCAATCGGGTGCATAGTAATTTGAACCAAAATTCTGATTGCTCACAAGACCTAGGATCTACCTCAAATTCGACCTCCAACAATATTCTATTGAAAACAGAAGCCAAAAGATATAACTATAGATGAAGTCGAATAGCTTGACATTGCAAGTAAAATGCAAATCTAAAGGTTTTAATTACAAATTACGAAGTCCACAAGTGAAAGAAACTATCTAATTCCCAAAACTTGATCCGATTATAGAGATAATATTGATGAAATAACGGCAAAAGGAACCCTACAATTCTCAACTACCTATGCCCCAAAACTTAAACCCAAATACAGATATCATAATCCTAGGTCACTTGTAGATGGATCGTGCAGCCAAATCCAAAATTAAGTTTCATCAGCTTTCAACAAGAAATCGAAGATAGTCTACGAATCGAAATCACTAGAGATCTAAATGTAAGAATAAGTCACAACTCCTTAATTGGCTTCAAGTAAACACAACGTATCGCACAACAAAGCATGCAGATCTCAAACTATATCTACTCATATAACATCAAAACGGGCCGAGAAGAACAACAGAGTCGACCCAGCCAGCAATTACAAACAAATACATACATTCATTCATATGTGTGTCTAGGGTGCTAGTACGTGACTCTGCGCGTACAGTATTAGTGCGCGAATAAGTAAGAATATAGGCAGAAATAAGAAAGAGGGAGAAATAGAAGTACTCTTCTTTCTCTCCATCGCTAGAGTAAGGGCTCTCGTCGGAATCTGAAAAAAATTGAACAAACACGTAAATTATTAGATTAATCAGAAAATAAAATCAGATAAAAATGCTGACCGTAACTCGAATTTACTGCAACCAAATAATAACGCATGTGCGCAGAAGTGTACATGAACACGTACCGGAGGCGTCGCCGGTTTCTTTCTGGTTGTGATTCTCGCTGAGTTGGACCGAATCATCGGGTTTTTCTTCCTCGAGCGGTGGCTGAGGGGAAGGAGGCGGAGTGGATGCTTCAAGGGGACGCTTTTGGGCGGGCATTGAGTTGACCAGGCGGTGCAGGAGCTCAGCGGTGGCGGCGGAGGCGGTGGCGGAGGTGGCCGAGGGACGGAGTCAGCGAAGAAAGGCAATTGAGTGTTGTCTTCGTTCCGGTGCTTTGTCGAAATATAATGTGTTAATAATACTGTATCTCTGTGTGATTTGGGTTAATGTTGTCTCCAGTCTGCTCCCATACAGTTCTCTACAATTTTAATTGGGTCTCTCTGTCAAGGGTAACGACTTTGTATTTAAACTAGCACTTTCTACTTTGCAGCACCAAAGGTACAAGTCCTAATCAACTAGGTACAATACACAGTACTTTTTATAAGGAAATGAAACTGAGATTTGTTGCAGCTTATTTACATATTATATTGGATATAAATATGAATCTGTCGTAGATATTATAATTAATTAGTGCAATAAATATATGATGTGTGGTTTGAGGACTGAGGGTGCAATTTCAAGTCTCAATATTCTCATATGTAGTGCATATTTTGCAGCACATATTATCATATAAACCCCCTTTGATTTAGAAAATTGCATATATATCCCCAGTAGTTTGATATTAGCTAACACTTGGTCACTTACCCATATAACCATTGAATTTTTTATATTATATTTTTACCGCTAACCAAATATCGAATAAATTGCAATCGTCTAGAGTTTTCAAAAATACAAAATGTCTAAATGTGATTACTTAATATTCGGTCAACGAGAAAACATGAAATTTTGAAAAAGAAAAATCGACGATCAAATGTGTTAAATGTTGGTTAGTATCAAAGTATGTATATTATCCAAATTTAGTCTTTCATATGTGAGATCTATCATCTATCTCGAAAACCATTCAAACGATTCGTTTATAAGTATTTTTTTGAAGTACTAACATAATTGCATATTATACTCCTCAAATTGCACATTTTAATTTCTTTTAATTTGTGTTATTTCAAATTCATCACGATAAACCCTAATTACCAAATCCATCTCAATGCGAGCCTCTAAACATTTTCATTAACCAATCGAAGAATCAAACACAAATCGAATAAAGAAAGAACATGTAGCAATTGAAAAAATTAAATATAAAACTTAGGTATATCGATCTTTAAGAAAAGAAAAAAAATTGACGAAAAACAGATGACCTTAAAATTGAAAAAAATCTGAAACAGAAAACTTACCTTTTCCTCTATAAACTTGTAGTTATCACGATAAATGTTCTATATTTGAAACATATGAGAATAATATATGAAAATAAGGTAGATAGGAAAACGATTATCGCCAATGTTCGCCGCCGCCGCAGTATTTTGTAGGTATATTTGTGAATGAAAGAGAGGTGGTGGCGATAGAGTAATAAAAAGGAAATAACATTTATGTGTATTAAATATGAGAAAAAAATTGGTCAAACCTACGGTCCTACGGTGTGAACGAGCCGAGCTCAGTTTGAGTTCAACAATTCTAATGAGTCCAAGCTCGAGCCAAATTTCTCGAGCTTATTTTGCTTTGGTTTTTATAATATTAATATTATTATTTTTTATGCGACAAAATATTTTAATAAATAAACTAATATTTTTTTTAGTTTATATGTATTTATAATAATATTATTATTAGAATTTATATTAAATATGTTATTCTTATGCAATTTAAAATAGGTTCAAAGTATTACATTTAGCAGCAAAAGTCTTCTATAGACTATAATTCATTATCTGTTTTCCAAATTATCGCAAGAAAGTCGCGGGTTTTGCACTAATAAAGAAAACGAGTTAATTGCACAAGACCCCCTGTGTAACGTCTAATTATCAAATAAGTCCTTCTGTTAAACAAATTAGCAATTAACCCCTATGTTGCATATATTTAGCCCACCGCCCCAGTCGAGATTAACCTGTTTGACTTAATAACATGACTAAACTACCCCTATTTAAATATACAATAAATAACAAAAATCATAACTAATCCATCAACAAAAAATAAAAATAAAATAAAAATAGTAAAGGTATTCCACGTGCCCACATAAAAAAGTACCTCCCACGCGCCACCCTCCCCCCCAGCCCCACCCAACCATCGCACATCTTCTTCACGTTCGTTCATCTCACGTTCGAGGGGGGAAATTGATGATTTGTTGCAAATTCGGGGTTTTTCAATAATTTTTAAAACTGCAATTTGGTCCTCAAACGACATATAGTTTATGTTTATTTAATAAGAGGGTATCTATGTCATTTTGCCAGAAAAATCTAAGAAATACTCACAGAAGCCGCGAGTGAGTCACGCAATCTTCTCTTTGGGGCTTAATTGGCTTTGACTATAGAACATAGGGGGATAAACGCTAATAGTTTTAACACGTGGACATTTTTGACAATTAGACGCAATGTTTTGAAAACCGGACCGGACCGGCCGGTCGAACCGGTTCAACCGCGAACCGCCGCCTTGTCCGGTCTGGTTAGATGTGAAAAACCAAAAATCCCAAAAACCCGGGTCAAATGCCAAAAGCCCGGTTCGACCTGTAAGAAACGGTTAACCCGGAACCCGGTCCAAAAACCGGTTTTTAGCTCAAAAAAAAAATCATGGCCAGATCTAAGTCAATGGTGGTCGTGGGTGGTAAAATCTTGTCGAAAAAGGCTGTTGGTGAACGGATCTGAGTAGTATTGATCGAATCCAAGTGGTGGCAGCCATAGATTTTCACCGAAGAAAAGAAAACGAAGGAGAAATTGAAAATGAAGGAAAAAATGAAACAATAAGTTGAGCAAATAGAGTATAAGTCTGGGTGGAAATTGGGATAATTAAAAATAAACAGAGATATAATAGAATAAAAGAAGAGAAGGGGATGGGCTTGTGGCTGTGAAAACGAGAGGAAGAAGAAAGGAGAGAGAGAGGGGAGGAAATCAAAGGAGAGAGGGGGAGAGGAGAGGAGAGAGAGAGGAGGGGAGAAAATTAATAATTTTAAATTATATTTTTGTAAAAAAGGTGGAGTGAGTTGGGTAATAAAGTGATGAAAGTGAAAAGCAAATATAAAAATATAAAATTTATTATATTTGAGGTATTAAATTAATAAAAAAAAATATATATAAAAAAAAGTAAGAAACCCGGTTGGACCTCGGTTGAACCGGTCCAACTCCGGTCCGATTTTCAAAACATTGATTAGACGTGACACTGGGGTTCCTGTGCAATTAACTCTTAATAAAACACTATGAATTAGGCGGGACCCAGCATTTCATAACGGCGTCTTTGACGGAAACAAAATGGCAAGGAATTAATGCAGATACTAACAATTTGAGGGGGTGTATACTAAATACACAATACTTGAAGGGCACAAATGTATATTATCCTATAAATTAATAACCCTGAATTGTTTACCGTGGACTCTCAGTTTCTTAATCAACAATTCACACAGATGATTATGGAGAAAAAAGGCCTCGATTACAGAAAGAGATTCCGAGAAAAAAGAATTGCGGCGAACCGGCAAACGTCGCCGTCTTCTCCAGGTACGCCTCGTGAATCGCAATTTTGTGCAATTCAATCCCGCTGACGTCACCTCGATATGTTAATCACCTCGCTCGTCTGCGCAGCTCTGTTATTCGTTGAATTTTACTGATTGATTTTTTTTTAAAAAATAAATCCCTAGGTAAGAGGGGATAGCGGTATTCGAGAACTGTATGCAACTTCATCGCTAGACCACTTTGCTCTCATCGACATGGGTCTTCCTGAAGCTGCTGATTTCGCTCGTAATTTCGCTGTAATGGTCAGGGTTCAAGGCCCCGTGAGTTTCATCCCCTTGTTATTTCACGCGTATTTATTTATGTATATTTGTGTATGTATATGTGCAGATTTATTGAAATTCAGCTCGTTGTAAATGGTACGCAGCGATGATTTTGTGTCCGATTGATTTATATGTAGTAATGGGTTTTTGGTCTTCGTTGTTTTCAGGATCCAAAGGGTTTAAAAATGAGAAATCACGCATTCCACCATTACAAGTAAGTCATCCAGACTTGATGTTTGAGTGTAAACCAGTTCAATTTAGTATGCTACACTCTCTCTCTCACACACGCCCGCGCACACTTTATTTGAAGTTGAATTCGAAATCAATCACGATAACTGAAGTGAAAATCCATTGATGTGCTTCTGTAGTTCTGGAAAAACAATGCTCTCAGCTTCAGGAACGATATTTCCAGCTTCCAACTTTTGCAACCTGGAATCTTCAGATACTGTTTTGGTTCTGACAGCTGCATCTGTGATCGAACCATTTCTATTGCAACAATATCGGGAAAACCCATCCAAGGTTTGGACTGGAGATAGTATTTCAACTTAGGGTTTCATAAGTTAATTGTTTTCTGCGAGTTGTCTTCCTTTCAACATTTGCTCTTCATTTCCCGCAGGACAAACCTCGTTTGGTACCGGGTGTGCAGATCGATATACTAATGGAGGTATAGCCTGCTATTGGAGAAATTATTGTCTAGCTACTTGCTCTTTTATGCTGGCTATACGTCTGATGCATGTATGGCTTTTCGATGACTAGGACAAATCTATGATGGATGGCAACATGGAGGCGTTACCTTGGCTTTCTGCCGAACTGCTAAAGATGGTAAACAATTAACTAATAACTAAATGCTCTGAAATATTTAGTTACTGAACTTTTCGTTGTAATATCATTGTGTGCATATTTTTATCATTGTTTTACCGCTCAATCTTTTTTGAAAAAAAGGCGTCAATAATGATGGGGTGAATTCTTTTGAAGGTGAACATTCCACAATCATCTGCTGCTGTTCAATCACTAATCGAAGCTTCTTGTGGTTCACTGGAAAATAGTTGGGAAGTTGGTTGGTCTCTAGCCTCTCACAGCCGTGGTCCTCAGAATGTTCTAGAAGGTTCTCGTGCACAGGTAATTTAATCAGTTTTCATCTACCACCTACTTAAACTGATTATAGTCTTAGTATGCTATCCCTTTATTTGTGTATTACTTTCGTTTATGCGTTTTGTGATGGAAATTTTCCAATCAAGGTTTTTCATTCTAATTAAACAGCAATTACATATGAAATATCCTTTATATGTAGGAAATTGATATTGGGAATTTCTAGTTGCTTAAATTGAAACGAAAGCAGCTTGGGCTCTCTGCATCACAGTGTAGCTTAACGAAAGGCGCAATCGATTTTTGTACCATAACGTTATGCCCAGCCTGTTCGTTTTAATTTTAAGTAGTGTTATCAACATCCTTTTCACACTGTTTTTATTTTTGTTCCTGTACGAAGAAAGTTGGACCTCTGTCTGAAAGAAAAAGCATAACAAAATTTGACTACATAGATGGTGTATTATGTAACAGGAACTATCAACTGATGATTTCAGGTTCAACAATCACCCTTCCTTGGCAACTGGTCCACAGTGAGGATGGAGTCGAGCAATCCAAATCTTATGGGCCAATCAGCGACAAGAATTGCCCTGCTAGCAATTCCTTCCAAATTTTCCTCGGTAATATAATTTTCACCCACTAGATTTTTTTGCTATTGTTTGAATTAAAATAGTTTCAGTTGCAATGTACTGAATGATGGTGTAAATCCTTTTTTTTTTTCAGAATTTTCCGAAGTTGCAAACATCTATTCCCAAGAGAGGGGATCTTCTTTTGGCTATGGGTTCTCCTTTTGGCATATTATCACCTCTGCACTTCTTTAACAAGTAATTGTTGCTCCTATATAGTTCAAAATAGTCTTGAAACTCAATATGATGACAGTATGAATGGACATATTATATATTATTTTATTATGATATAATTATAACCTTGCTCTCAATATGCAGTATTTCGGTGGGGTCAGTTGGCAACACCTATCCACCAAGTTCTTCCACAAGATCTCTTTTGATGGCTGATATTAGGTGTCTTCCAGGTGCGAGCAACTGGCCTGAAAAAAATATCATCTCTAGTTTTATTGTATATTGTCGATTCTGATAGTATCTTAGCTCTGTTCTTTCAGGAATGGAAGGTAGCCCAGTTTTCAGCGAACATGCTCGATTTATTGGTCTTCTAACAAGACCACTTCGGCAAAAAGTTAGTGGTACTGAAGTTCAGGTATGGAGGCTGTTATCTCTCTCTCCCTCCCTCCCGACTTATATTTCTTTATCTTTGAATACTCAAATCTTCTTGACAGATGGTGATTCCATGGGAAGCCGTTGCATCTGCATGCAGTGACTTGTTGCAGGATGATCTCCATTCGAAAAAAATCGATTATAATAATGGAAACTTGAACACCGTAGGGAATATGTTATCCAAGGATAGAATATTACCCCAGCCCGTGTCTCCTATTGAGGATGCAATGAATTCGATTTGTCTTATTACCTCAGACGATGGATCATGGGCGTCTGGTGTATTGCTGAATAAACAAGGCCTGGTTCTTACAAATGCTCATCTACTGGAGCCATGGCGGTTTGGCAAAACAGCTGCTAATGGTGACAGAATCGATA